TTCCAGATCATCGATGATTTAACAAATTTATATTACAAAATACGAATGAAAATTATTACTTAGCTAGGAAACGAATGCGATGATAATCGAAACGATAGTTAGTCGTATCACTAAGACTATTAATTTTTTGCTAATACAAATATGATAGGACAAGGAAAGAGGAGATTTTTGCGATAAATTACGATAGACAGTAATGACCTTAATTAATTAACCTATATAATATAATACATACATATAATATATAGGGAAAAAGAATAATATAGGGGAAAAAATAAAGAATAGGGGAAGAATAAGAAGAATGAGTTGTTGGTCTAATTTTGTAGCGTCAACTCTACGCGACTTTCAATTCGCGACTCGAGTTGATTACTAGCGACTCATCTCATATTTTGATCATCAAATGATAATCTCTGATAAAATTTATCTGCGAGTCCAGCGGAACGAATCTAATCAAATGCATGCGGTGAGCGGTGTTTTTAGTGAAAAATATTAATAAAGTGGAAAGATGGAAAAAGACGAAAATATCAAAACATTTGAAATATTTATAAATTACTCAGTCATAAGACAAAAATTTATTGCATTTAATATATTTTTATTCGTCGATCGACGATCATTTTTCTTCTAGCAAATTAGTCGAAAAAAAAAGAAATGAAATAAAAAATATTCAAGTCGATGCTTAAAAAAACAAGTAAAAAAATGAACGCCTAAGGCGATTAATGTTTAATTTTTTAATGAATAGTATGGAATACTCTATTGAATTTTTAAATTAATAGTAGTTTAGAGTGGTGTTTATATTCGATCGGAGCAAATAAATAATATGAAAAAAAAAACGCGGTGATTTCAATGATTTCGTTTGGTACTTTCCAAGTACAACTTGGTTCCACTTCGTTCCTCAAATAATTCCTCAATAAAAATTGTTAATTTTAGTCAATTAGCCTAACAAATCTAATCAGGCATTTCGTAGGTTTTTTTTATGTATTATTGGTGAATTATAGGTGTCAGAGTCAAATTAGAGATTGAGATTTGTTGTCGCTTCGAGCAGCGGTGAACAAGCGACATAAATTAAATTCATAAGTTTTTTTTGCGATGAATAAAATTGGCTATTAAAAGTGAAATGGCGAAGTGATCGAATTTATACTTTTATTCCCCTCAGGCGATTGCTTTTCTAGTGAATCAATCACCCCTCATGCGAATATTCAGTTAGACCGATCAAAATCATATAGAAGGAAGTGAAAAAAAAAATTTAAATTGTTACTGAAAACATTTATTAACAACCATTCCATCCAATAATCAATGACAAATCGTCGATTCTATTCTCATTGATTTATTGATAAAATATTGATAACATTATCAGTAAAAAAAACAATTGATAATAAATGATAGGCCTTCAATTAAATAATGTTGTATTTTTTTCAAAATTTATTATAAATTAAAATAATTATATTATAATAATAATATTAGCAAATTAAATAATCAATAATAAATTAGAATTCTATTCTCACTCGATTTGTTGATAAAATATTAACATTCTTTTCAACAAAAAAAAAAAGAATTGCTAGTAAATGATAGGTTTCATACCAAAAATTCTATCAAAATTTATTATTAATTATTATTATTAATTAATATTTATTAATATTAATAGTTTTTAAAAATTAAAAATAATCACCATTGTTTTGCGCAATTTTTTTCGTATCTACAAATTAATTCGAATAATTTTTACAATTTTTTACTGAATTTTTCGCTATCGCGAAAAAATCTTAAATAAATTGAAAATGAATATTAATATTATCTGATATGATAAGATAGGAAATTTTTGGGAAAATTTCTTGATTTCTTTCCGCATATATTTTTTTTTTAAATACAATGAAATATTCTTTATCAATGAATGAATTTGTCGCTGTAAACATCAGAGATTACAGTTTGGGTAAATTCCAGAAATTATGACGAATTTACTTCCCACTCCACTACTTATCACATGAATTTCTATTTTTCCATGAAAGTTCGATCTAGGAGTTAATGCTGATGAACCGTTCAGGCGATCACAAATGACAATTCGGTCAGGGAAAATAAAAATTCAACTTCATTCACCAACTTCTGCGAAATTCCACCGCACCACTACGCAGCATTCTTTAAATTGCTCACTCATCACCGCTAATCACTAATTCCTCATCAGCGCTGCTTCTTCATTCTTCATTTCATCTGTTGGTGTCCTTGTCATAAATACTGCGAGTATTCCTCAAATAATCCTCCACAGGCCCTCTGCAGCTCCAGCATAGATCCAAAGGACTGATAAATTTTCACCAAACCCAACTAAAAGAAAAATTCTATTCCTTCGAATACTATTTTGTGAAAACATTTATTAACAATTATCAACGATTCATACATAAATACGAATTTAATGTTTTCTTCAACTGTTTAACTATAGAAAATTTTTCAATTTTTTACAAATCGAAATATAATCCTTTGTTGATTTTTAATGAAAAAAAAACTTTTATTTTCCGTCTATTTATCGAAATTTTTTTTCATTTTATTCCATTCTTTATTTTTTTTAAATAAAAAATCAATGAAAATGTTTAACAAATTTAAATAAACTTAAAATAATTAAAGGAAAAAAAAATTATTAATATAACATCGAAAATTTTTTTAATTTCAAAAACAATATGATAAAAATCACAAAATAAAATTTCAATGATGAAAAAAAACGTACAAAATATATTGAAACAAAAACAAAGAAAGATTAAAATGAAACCACAATAATTTTTTTCATATTAAAAAATATTTATTTTTATTCCTTTTCCTTTTTTTAATCACATAAATTGATTAATGCGCTTAGCGATTAATGATTACTGACAAAAACTAATAACAGCAATAAGGGAAAATATAAACTACGGCAATGCCAACCAATGCATAACAGATTATTTTTTTAATCTACTGAATAAAATAAAAAACATTTATTAGATATCGTCAATTTCGAATAAAATATTAATGTGACAATATTTTTGAGTAATAATAAATTTTTCGAAACATTTCAGAAGAAATTTATAGCGAACATTAAATTAAATTACATCCAAATATATATAACTTTGGTACCAAATTATGCGTAATCTAATGCTCATTACCAGTCTATTCAGCCTATTTCATCTTCTCAACAGATAAGTTCAACAACTCGATTTTGTGATAAACGACATATAATAAAAATGTGAGTAGTTTATTTGAACTCATTGGCGAAATAAATCTGCCGTTAGACCTAAATTCTATTTCGTAGATCATCTACAATAATAGTGCCTACGAATAATAATCAAAAATAGTTCTCTTGCGAATTAAATAACTGCGAATTTTCCGAAAGAAAATTTCTCTTTTTTTCCACTTAGCATGAATCTTTTAAAATAAATATTAAAAAAGCCAGGAAAAAAAATTGATTTATATAAATTTAGCAAAAAAACCTTTTTTTTCCACTCAACATGAAATTTTTTCATAAGTATTAAGCGATCCCGGAAAAAATAAACATATATACCCGGAAAATAAATTTTAATCACCGATGACCAAGTTACAAAAAAAATACTGCAAATGAAAAAAGGAAAAAAAACGAGGAAAAGTGATAATAACCGACAAAAAAAAGATAACGCCGTGATTTTGTGGAAAAAAAAGCAAAGCTAAAATTTCGCAAACCTAAAAACATTCAAAAATCATTCATAAAAAAAATGTTTGAGGAAAACAAAAAAAACAGTGAAATGTTAGAAAAATAACTGAAGCGAATTTGATTCTAAAAAAATAAAATATTTAGAAACGATTAGAAGCTATTCATAAAAAATGCATGAATTATGAATACTTTTGCAAATATTCTCATTCATTCAAGTTTACGAGGAGTGATATTGTTTTTTTTTCAAAAAAACAAAAAAGAAACAATAAATCAAATCTATTATTAAATGATAACGAAAATCACTTCATCAGTTATCAGTTAAGGAAGAAATACGCAAAAAAAAAGAAAAAGACGTTTTTTTTAAACAAATTATTCATTTCCTTCAAATAAATCAAACAAATTAAGGCAAAATCGTTTACTAATTGATTAAGTTGAAAATTGAAATTATCAAAGAGAAACCCATCATTTGACGGTATTTCGACGATGACGCTAATAAACCATGGAATTACTGATTAAATCCATTATTTTATTACCAATGATGACGACCTTCACGAACAGTTCACCACTTTCTTCAGTTTCGACAAACTTATCCGTAATACCTTCCGAATCGCATATTTATCCACATCTTCTTAAGCGCATTTACCGCTTTCGAACTGCTTTTTTTTTCTTCCAAAATTTCCATCCAATTTTAGAATAATAGAATTAGAATGCTTTCTTTTGAAAAAATAGCAATGAAAACAATAATACTTCCTTTCATATTCATAGCTTTCTTATTTCTAATTCAGAATAAAATCGCGTGCTTTCTCTTCTTGAAAATTAACTTGAACTTATTTAACTATTCATATCGATTGCAATGCAATGAACAAAAAAGAGACTTACAACCGATCATAAAAGGCACACAAAAAGAATAAAAAAATTTTCCGGCCGCAGATGGAACAAATTATGAAATCTTCCGACCGGTGCTTAAAGTGCTTATTAACTTACATAAATAAAACATATACTTATAAATGAACGACTTCAATTTCAAATGCTCAAAGTCAAAATAAAATAACAGATGCGCAATAGACGATCAGAAAAAATTATCTAATCAGAAATATTGCTTAATTTAATTTAGACTTAAATTCAACTAATCCCTCAAAAAATAAAAGAAAATTGTTGACGGAAAGAATGTTCCTCGAAAATTATCGACATAAAACACTTCTGACTGAGCAATTATTCCGCTTTAAATGAGCTGAGCAAGAAAAGCTGAATGTGAATGTTAGTAAAAATTTTTAACAATGAAATACATGCAAAAAAAAAAAAAAAAAAAATCGAAAATTGACCTGAAAAAGTTCATCTAAAATTTTTCAAGTGCAATGATGAGTTAATCCCACTTAAGGAAAATATAATAGTGAGCAAATTAGAACTTAAAAAAACGGCATAGATCGATCAACAACAAAAATGATCGAATTGAAATGACAGTATAACCACTTGTGGCGCTTCTTTTCCATACTGTTGTTGAATTTTCAATTTATTTCAATTTTTTTCGAAAATTTTCTGCCGTTAAATCAAAAACTAACAATTTATTCATATTTTAAATTAAGGATGGTCCATCCAAAGCGCGGCTTGTGCATTCTTCTCTTCTAAAAAAATAAGCCATAAGCATTTAGTTCGATAATACCAATATTTCTAATGAATTGCTTATAACAAACTCGACCAAAACTCACCTTTTGCTTGCTTAAGAGAGCTTAGTTCTGCCTTTAACTGATGTTCGGAGACATTTGATCGTTTTCCGAGTACACCTTCAACCAAACGACGAGCGACAAATGGTGTTGTCCGCGGTCGAAGTTTATGAGGACGAAGTCTAGAAGCGCTACTACGAGCAACATTTTGTGAAACCAATGAAGCATTTGCCATTTTGCGTAATCGAAGCCATTTATTTGAATGTAATTGATTTGCAGCAAGCATAGCTTTTAATGCTTTAATAACAGCAAAATATTAATAAAAAGAATTCAAAAATAGTTTGATCAAATGTTCAAATGTTAAGTGGGGAAAAAAAATAAATACAATAAGACCAAAAATAATGGAAGATGGTCTAGTAAATTAAAAACTGCCAAAAAAATCGAAAAAATTCAGAAAAATTAAAATTTTAAGCAAAATTATTTCTGAAGAAGTGGCAAATATAGTGGCAAAAAATTTCTCTTTCCAAAAAAATCGGAAAAGGGAAAAACTTTACTGACCTGCATTTTCACAAGAAAAAACAACCAAACAATGAGCATCATCAACTTTATGAAGCGAAACATCAGCACAACCAATTTTCGCCAATTCATCTCGCAAATCTTCTAATGTTGTTCTACGAGGAATAGAATATGCTTCAAGAACATGTGTCGGTAAATCAATATTTTTCCATGCATCCCATTCCTCACCAATCGTCCGATCTACCAAAGGTTTTTGAATTTTTATTCGATCCATTGCTTGCTCGATCTAGATACATTAAAATAAATAGTGAATATCATTATTATATAATTATTATAAATAATTCTTACATGGAATTTTTACATATTTTCGTAAAAAAAGAATTTAAAACTTAAATTTAAAAATTTAAAAAAAACTTCTTCATCAAGCTTGGAATCATATTCATCATTTATAAGATCTTCCCAAGAATCGACAGTACCAGAACCACATTCTTTATTTTGATCATCAAAAATTTGACGAAAATCTTCATCAATAGTTTTTGAGTGCATAAGCGATATTTTTTTCTCGATATTTTTTAAATTTTTAGTTTCTTCGTACGGAGAATCACTGATATGATCTAGTAATAAATCGTTTTGATTCTTTGATAAGCCTGGTAGCTCAAGAAATGTTGAATCCTTCACTGCATCACACTCACTTTTATCATTACCATCCACTTCATCTTGATTATCCAATAGATTTTTAACTTTACCATCCTCTTCGGACAGAACTATAGCCACCGCAATTTTATCCGTAGTTGGTTCCGCACTATCATCACAAGTAGGTAAAAATAACTCGTTAATATCAGAATTTTTTGCTTCACCGGTAAATCCATTAGCCATGACTTGAAAATAATTTGATTCGTAATTACCACCCTAAAAAAAGAAAAACGAAAAGTTAAACGGTAGAGAATACTGCAAATAACCATTATTTAAATAATAAATTTTCGCCCACAGTATTTTCGCGATGAATCACAAAAGGAGAAAATATAAAAATATAATGATATATACTTGCAGAAATTTAAATCTTACTTTATCGATAATAAAAATATTTATTTGTATTTCGCATATATATTTTTAAATATACAACAATCAAAACTGATGTAATAACTTATTTGATAACTGATTTACGATAGCTCAAATCAAGATTTTTCCGATAAAAAATAAATTCTATTTGTATTTCTGCTGGTAAAACATAAGAAAAATTATTACAGTGAAATATCTTTTAATTGCAATTTTTCAATCAAATTTTAAGGTAAGAAAATTTCAAAATTTTTTTAAAATTATTTTTAAAATTAAAATGAAAAATTTTAAATGTAATCCAAATAAACTTTTTAAATAAATTTTTTCTCAAATTGCGTTTATGTATTTATAAACAAAAATAAAAATAAAACAATATCTAAAAATCACAAGATCTCAGCTAGGACTGCTTAATAAGGGAATATAAAAAAGGATAATGAAGCTTAACGATTTAAAACCAAAACATTCATGAGGAAATAAACCAAATAATTTCGTTCAGTTTTTCGGTAATATGAAAAGGAAAATTTAGAAGATAAACTGACAATAAATTGATAAGTTGGAGGACTTGCAACAGCTTGCAGAAAGCAAATTCAAATCTATATGGCGAATATTTTTGGATATATTGTTAATGTGACAAGAAAAATGAACTATAGGGACATTAGTCTAATTTTTTTTAGTAATTACTCAGAGAACTAGTAATCAAATTCAGCTTCAACCAAGAAAAACGGTGAATTTCATCAGGTGTCGTCCATTTATCTTATTATCAGAAATAATTTTTTCACTAAGCATAATTATGATTCAAATGGGCTGAAAAAATTCTGCATCTGTTCTGCAAAAAATGCTCAATCCACAGCTTTAGCTGGAGAACATTACTCCATCCCATTCATCCTCCACCCATCTCTCAGACATTGCAATATCCGACCATCATCTTTTTTCGATACACATATGTGCAATCGCCATTTTCAAAATCAAAATATGGAAAAAAAAGCAACATTCATTTTTAAAAATCGATAGTCCTATCAATTTACTTGCAATTAGTGCTTATTTTTCCGAAAAAAATTTCATAATTATGTGTTAACTCTTTCTTTTTCGACCGAATAATTTGAATAATTACTTGAATGGTATCGTACTTAGGATAAAGTAAGAGGTAGAACTGAAAAAAAACTTTATTCTTCTCTTCATTTTTTCGATTTTCAGATATGCTTGCGGCGATAAGTAACAGAAGAAAGCTCTTTCCTTTTTTTTTAAACGCGCATTCACCTGAACTAAACTGATAATATATGACATAATTTTAGCGACAAGGACACATGAACTTTCTAACCAATTCTTATGTGGATTATAATATGCCATTGTATGTAATGACATCGCAACATAAGAAGATTTGGCGATCACCTTTTCCCGCGTTGATAAATACCAAACCATCAAACGCTAAGAAACACGAATTCAATGCCAAACCTAATGAAAACTAATGTCGAATAGATGTTTTTGATCGCTGTTCCCTTTTTCTCCAATAAAGGCGAGAAAAAAGAAAAAAGTACTGTGATAAAGACAAAGAACAATATAAAGAAAAAATGACAAGAGATGAAAAAAGAAAAAAGGAAAACCTGGAAAAGGAAAATAAAACAATCTTCCAATGTCTTTCGGAAAAATGTTATCTACCACTTAAAGGCATTCCCTGAAAAAATCAACCTTAAATTATAGCAAATTATTACTTTCATAGATTCGAATGATGGTGAATCACGTTCAAATTTCCCACTTCCACCAAAAAGACTTTCCACTAAATTCTCACATAATGCTGCGGTAGCATCCATTCGTTCTTCTGCAGAACTTGAAACCATCGCCTGAAGTTCCTTTATGAGAAAATAATTGATAGTGACATGAACTCAACTTTATCCCTCCCTCCAGAATTATTCTGTCACTTTCAAAATATGTCTGATAAGTTTCGAAAAATAACAATCAGAAAATAAAATCCTTTATTTCACCGCTGATTGATTTACAATACTGAAGCAATAAACAATTTAAAATCCATGTTCTCATGGAAGGTTTGGGGTTTTCCAAACTTGTTACTAAATTAATTATCCTAAATTAATGACCCCGACCTGCCTTCCAGAGAAGCTATCATTTTAATTAGTTATGTCAAAACATTATTTTTAATGGAGGTCAGCTCTTCTGTACTTAATTTCTGAGAAAGGATTCATCTTAACCTTGAATTAACTTGTTTGGTATGGAGACTATCAAACAAATAATTAATACTTTTATAACTTATACAAAGTTGATATTTTTGATTTTCATTTTCGAATATTTGCTCACATTTGCTCATTTATTTCTCATAAAATTTTTTCTCGTACTTCTTTAATTTTTTATTTTTTTCCTTATTTTTTCTACGGTTCTACAGTTTGATCACCCAAGTCTGATGATAAAATTCTGATTGTGCAGCTTCCCACATCTTTTATCTTACTGCATATCCAAAGTGGATAAAAAAAAAGTAAATACAGTTGCATGGCAAGCAAGACTACTATCACAAGATTACTATTAGGACTATTATTACTATTATTAATCCCACTGCTTTTCTAATTGTAAAATGTAAAAACTATAAAATTTAAAGAAAAAATTTCAAAAAATTCACCGCTGATTGATAATCAATTGGAATTGCTTGTGTAGCTGATAAATCGGAAACTTCGTTGAATTGAAAATCCCAATCAGATTGTTCATTTGTAACAGGCGAATCGATGGAATTTGACTGAATCGAATGATGCACCAGTGACTCATGAGAATCTAAAGCTATATATTGATAAAAAAAATTGGCCCAAATAATAGGAAAAACTACGATTCAAAACTGCACCTCTAAAAGAATTTTTGTCCACAATAATTTGCTCAAAATCAAAACTGGCCATATTAATTGGACAAGAATCGTAACCGTTTGAAAAATCTACAAAAACAAAGATTAAAATATTAGAAAATGAAAAAAAAAATTAAGGGAAACTAATAATAGTGAGAAAATATACGGTTTATTGAGATGTTAATCTATCAGCACATTTACCATATGAGGTGCAATCTGTATGTAATGGCCTATATTTCGTTTTCAATGCAAAAAATGATGTGATCTATTTGCACTAAGATCAGACCGCCTCTAGGAAGCGTCTTATCCTTGTAGCTGTTGCAGCCTAATCAGTAATGGTGAGAGCTGTTAGAAGATCGTACATTAAGACAGAAGAATTAGAAGAATAGAAGAATATAGAGATAAAGGAAAAAATTAATAAATTATTATCGAAATTTAAAAACATACCTGATAAATTCAATTGTTCGGGTCTCCATAAAGATGTGAAATTACTAAATGATTTTAAAAGATTCTTGCCACGCAGTAATATTTGCCCCTCATTTTTCTCCATTATATTTTCTCTTCCATTCTCTAACAATCCTGTTTTATCAGAATTTTTCGTGTTGCTGTTATTACCAATTTCAAAAGTATAAGGTAATCGATCATGGCCAACAATAATACTGTTATCGTCTTCGATACTTTTCATATCAATAAACCAAGGTTTTGCATTCCCACAATCAAAACTAGCAACATCAAACTCTTCTAACTCGATCTTTTCAATCTTCCCTTGTTCACAAGCTTCATACGATTCGTTTATCATTGCCACCTAAAAAATTTTTATATTTATTCAATAAATTTGGAAATTCTAATTCTTTATCAGTGGAACGAAAAGTATGATTTAAGAAAGTATGATATAAGAAAGAATTTTCTTTTTACATACCTTACGCAAGAAATCTATTAGAAAATTTTCAATAAAAAAACTATTTAAAGAACTATACAATACAATAAAAGAACTATACAATAAAAATTGGTACTGAATTTGGATTTCCACTGATGTTTGCCCCTCCTTCTATCCTTTAATAAATTTTGATAAAATAAAAACAAATTATTTATATGACAAAAAAAAACATAATTTAAGAAAAAAATTACAGGTTTAAGTAATTTAATATAACAATTTTAATTTTAGGTTTAAGTAGTAATTTTCAACGACGACACTCTTCTCACAAAAACTATCAGCTCTCTTAGTACCATTTTTTTTTTTGCATTAACAATTACCGCAGACATTAAAAACAGAATAAATGTGAACTTTAAGAGTAAGATTTTGTGGAAAGTTTGAAAAAAGATAGATTAAAATTAAAAAATGTAACCTCAAGATCGTCGGCATCAAGCGGAGAATCCATTAT